CCCCCAAAACCCCAAAACCCCGTTAGATGAGATTCGATCGATCCTGGTAACATGAGCAAATCATTAAATAATACTAAACTTTTAATAGGATGACTGATTCATGTATAGTTTAATTAATTTAAAAAAGAGTGAAAGTTAAAATTAGTTGATAAGGGAATTTTTTATGCAAATTTCTATGTTAATGGTCCAAATAAATTCAATTTTAAAATAATCATAATCAGTATCCAAATCCTATTAGAGTTTGATCATCTGGACTAATACCAGCTGCTGCCTTTAGGAAATTAATAAGTGTATGTCTCTGTCTGGAGAAACTGTTAACAACATATTCTGAGTGATTAGTAATGGGTGCCTTGAAGAAGAAAGACAAGTAAGATAGTACTGGGCCAAGTCCATTGCCATCAATCTTTATTCTTGTCAATAATTCTCCGAGTACCAACATATCAATCATAATTGGAACGGCTAATAAAGAATCCTCACAAATATTGTAAGATGAGATGGTGTTAGTACCTCCCATGAAGATTTGTGAAGTGTATTCATCAAGTGCCCTCTTTGAGTCACCAACGAATGGCACATACTTAATTACGACTTCGTGATCAATTGAAGCATGACCGTCAGGGTAGAGAATACTATTAGAAGCGATTGCATCATCTAACACTCCTCCCTTTGAAATCTTTTTAGATTAGAAACACTTGTCCTCTGAAAGGTTCTTTCCATCATTATTACCCAAATGATTATATGAGACAACTGATGAAAGTCTAAGGCCAGCGCCAATTAGGAAATCACTCATCATGGTCTTGAATCTTGTCTGTCCTGATTTGAAATCACTTCCAGCAAGAAGCCCTCCATTTTGTCTGGCATATTCAACTACACCTGGATGGAAGGTATTCTGTGGTGAACCATTAAGATAGATAACTTATTCCTCGATAGCTGCAATACAATAGAGTACTGAGGCTGGGAGTGGATCATTATTTTTGATTTTATCTGCTAGATCATCAACAGTTGCAATTTCTGGAAGGTAATATTATTCGGTATTTGCTGTCCACAATATAATAACTTTATCAGTCCTTCTTTTCATTTATTAAATATCTTCTCTCAATTTATTAACAATTTCCTAATTAGTTCCGGTTAGGATATTGTCGGCTCTGTCGGCTTGGTTAGATGCGATATAATCCTGATTAAGAGCAGCTGGAAGTGGCTTTATATTTTCGAGCTGTGCTTTAAGTTGTCTAAGAAGATCAGGTTCTAGAACTTTTGAACGTCTAGCAGCCTCATAAAGATTCATCTATGATATGTCCCAACCAGTTATTTCAAAGTCACATGGATTCACCATAGGCAATATTTCCTTAACAGGCTTATGAACGTCAGCAAGAGAGCCAGACTTCTCATCAATCTTGAAACCTACATGAGCTGTGGCGCTCTATGTAAATGACCCAAAGAAGTTAGCCTATTATGTTCCGTTCTTAGTCTCCCATGAGAGTCCTTGCTTATTAGCCAATACTCCTGCTACTAAAGTGGATCCGTTATTACCACCTAGTCCAACGAGCATGACTCCTAGCTTGGGTACTCTTTTCTCAGTGGTGATCTTGTGTTATTTCAAAACGTTTTCGTACTTTTACTCATCTTGACTGTAGACAGTATATCTCTCTGTAAAATCAGCTTCAATGTATTCACTGTTATGAACTCCCTATGAGGATAAGACTAAATCTTATACGTACGTTCACTTTAGGATTTGAATCATCATGATGACCATTCACGCCATTTTGTACATGTACTCCGTTGTTCTATTGGGTTTCCATCTCCTCGAAGAGTGTCTTGATATTTTAATACTAATTAGAAAATTTAAGGACTATTAAACCTAATACGTAATTATTTAAGCAACCACTACATCATTTAAATTTACGTCATCGCGGGGTTTTGGGGTTTTGGGGTTTTGGGGTTTTGGGGTTTTGGGGTTTTGGGG